TTAAGGACCAGAAAGATAAACCAGTGAAGGAGACTGGAAAGTGATCAAGATAGAAAATCAGGAGAAGCTACAGCAAGTTTTATAGAAGGGATCACTGACAATATGAAAAACTGGTATTATATATTTACTTTGTGGATAAAATTACCTCCTAAAATGGCAACTAGAAAGTTACTATTGAAAATGAAGGTCTTCCATGAAATGACAAAGGAAGCAATCTAATAGGCAAGGGGTTGAAGAGCACATGAGCTCTCTCACATTTACAACAGTTTGGCCATATTAAAGGGTTGTTGTGGGGCCAAGGCAGAGCTCTACCTAAAGGCTGGAAAAGTGGGTACCAAATACTAGCTCTGTTGACTGCTCTGTGGGGAATGGGAAAGGATCTGATGCTCTGAGTCCTCATCTATAAAATCAGTCTGTAACAAATTTCCTCTTAGGGTTATTTGAAACTAAATGTGCTAAAATATATGACTAGATCTACCTCAAAACCTAGGATGGCTATTCATTCATTCATCATAATTAGACATTCATTTATATTACTATTAATATAAAAGGAATCAAAACTAACCTTAAATTAGTTTAGTTGTTATAATTGCTGATACACTAAACACCAGTAATAGGATCTCTAAGTAAACAGAGTACTTTTATATGTAGTCAGTTTTGCTACAATATTTGTTATAAAAACATGAATTTGATCACACACAACTGATCTATTAGGGAACAATTTGAGCATAACACAAATTTTGCATTTGGTTATGTGCAAATTCATCCATGAGAAATATTAGGTCAATGCAGGAAACTGCACCCAGCTGAACCAAGCCATATAAGAATACATAAAACACACACACACATATCCATATCTCAAACATCTCTTAGGTACCTACAGTCATATGTGTTATGACCTATATCCATTCACAATTAGTGTTTAAATTTCCATTTGATTTTAACCAATTGTTGGAAGACCATTTTGTATGAATATTTTTGTATTTCTACATGACATGGGCTTTCAGAGCAGAGCACTGGCAAACTTGCTAAAGCACGACTGAACAGCAAACATGCCTTAGGAGGTAGGGATAATGCACTGCTCTGGAAAGATTTAGGCCTCCCCCAGAGCTATTTCCTTATAGTACAAGGTGGGGAATCTAGAGACTTTCCTCTTCCCTCCCAGAGAAGATTGCTTTACCTTCCAACATTTAAGGTCTTTCTCTCTCTCTCTCTGGAGGACATGATGGGCAGATGGGCCAGCAGCCTATAAAAGCTTTGTTGTTAGGTGCCACTGAGTCAGCTTTGACTCATAGTGACCTATGTACAACAGATGATGCCCAATTCTGCACCACCCTCACAAGTGTTGCTAAGCTTCAGCCCATCGTTGGAGCCACTGTGTGGATCCATCTCACTGAAGTCTTTCCCATTTTCCCTGACCCTCTATTTTACCAAGCTTGATATCATTCTCCAGTGACTGGTGCCTTCTGACAACATGACCAAAGTAGATGAGATGAAGTCTGGCCATTCTCACTTCTAAGGAGCATTCCAGCTGAACTTATTCCAAGACAGATTTATTCCTTCTTCTGACAGTCCACGGTGTTTTCAGTATTCTTTGCCAACACAATTCAAAGGCATCAACTCTTCTTTGGTCTTCTTTATTCTTTGTCCACCTTTCACATGCATATTAGACAACCAAAAATACCATGGCTTGGTCAGGCCAACCTTAGTCTTCAAAGTGACATCTTTGCTCTCAATAAAGAGGTCTTTCAGCAAGCAGGGTTGTGTTATCTGAATATCAAAGGTGGTAATGAGTCTTCCTCTAATACTCTCGCCATATTCTTCTTCTATAGTTCTTCATATAGTCCTGCTTCTTGAATTATTTACTCAGCATCAAAACAAAACAAAACTCACTGTCATTGAGTCAATTCACCACATAGCGACCCCTCCTTAGTTTCTGAGGTGGTATCTCTATGGAAGTATCTTCTTTCCAAGGAGTGGCTGGTGGGTTTGAATTGCCAACCTTCTGGTTAGCAGTCAAATGCCTTAGGCACTATGAGATTGAATAAGTATGGTAGAAGTATACAACCCTGATACAACCCACTCTTCCTGATTTTAAACCATGCAGTATCTGCTTGTTTTTTTCAAACAACAGTCTATGTATAAATTCCCCATAAGCACAGTTAAGTGTTATGGAATTCCTATTCTTCACAATGTTATCCATAATTTTTTATGACCTACACAGTCAAATGCTTTTCCATAGTCAATAAAACAGAGATAATCATCTTTCTGGTAACGTCTGCTCTTAGCCAAGATCCATCTGGCATCAGCAATGGTATCCCTCATTCTATGACCTCTTCTGAATCCAGCTTGCATTTCTGGAAGTTCCCTGTCAATATACAGTTGCAACATTTTTCTAATGCTATAATTTTAAAAAAAAATTATTGTGATTTGGATGAAAGTTTACAGAGCAAATTCATCTTCATACAGCAGTTCACATACACTTTGTCTCATGACATTGACTGAAATCTCCCACAATGCGACAGCTCTCCTCTCACTTCCTCCCCATAGCCACTTCTTCTCTGGGTCCTTCCCTCCCATGCACTCCTTCCCCCTGAGCTATCTCCCTGCGCATACACAGCCCTTCTATTCTCTCATGATTGATCTCTCCAAGGAGTGTATCTACCTAATGTAAATGTTCAGCTTTTGTTTGGTTGGAAGCCAGGGGAGTGGGTTCAATTTCAGACCTGAAGGGCAACTAAGAGCCATAATCTCAGAAGTTCCACCAGGCTCTATCTGACCAGCAAACTTGGTCCTTTTCTTTTTATGATTTTGAGTTTTGTTCCACATTGTTCTCCCACTCTATCCAGGATCTCCTACATAGATCCCCTTCTGAATGGTTGGCAGTGATAGCTGGCTACCATCTAGTTCTTCTTGTCTCATGGTCATATAGGGTGAGGACTGCATGGTCTACCAGTGCCTTGGACTAATTATTCCCATGCATCTTGGTTTTCTTCATTCTTCTTTGCTCTGGATAAGGAGAGACCCATCATTGCTGCAACCATTTTTTAATTATCTTCAGCAAAATTTTACTTGAGTGTGATATTGATACTGTTTGACAGTTTCCACATTCTGTTGGATCACCTTTGTTTGGATTGCGCACAGATATTGATGTCTTCCAGTCAATTGCCCAGATAGCTATCTTCCAAACTTCTTGGCAAAAACAAGGATATGCCTCCAGTGCTACATTTGCTTGTTGAAACATCTCAATGGTATTGTCAATTCCCAGAGTCTTGTTTTTCGCTAATTCCTTCAGGGCACCTTGGACTTCTTCTTTTAATACCCTTGGTTCTTGATCATGCTACCTTTTGAAATGGTTGAATGTCAACCAATTTTTTTGTTACAGTGACTCTGTGTATTCTTTCCATCTTCTTTTGAGATTTCCTGCATCATTCAATAGTTGGCCATAGAATCCTTCAATATTGCAAGATGAGGCATGAGTTTTTTCTTCAGTTCTTTCAGCTTGAGAAATGCCAAGTGTGTTCTACCCTTTTGATTTTCTAACTCAAGGTTTTTGTATATTTCATTGTAATTTACTCTGTCTTCTCAAGCTGCCCTTTGAAATCTTCAGTTCAATTTTTTGTTTCATTTCTTTCATTCTGTTTAGCTACTCTCAAGTTTCAGAGTTTCTTCTGACATCCATTTTGGTCCTTTCTTCTTTTCCTGTCTTTTTAATGATCTTTTATTTTTTTCATGTATGATGTTCTTGATGCTATTCCACAATGCATCTAGTCTTTGGTCACTGGTGTTCGATGCATCAAATCCATTCTACATATGGCCTCTAAATTCAGGTAGGATACGATCAAGGTTGTATTTAGGTACTCGTGGACTTGTTTTAATTTTTTTTAGCTTCAATTTGAACATGCATATGAGCAATTTCTGGTGTGTTCCAGTCAATTCTTGGCCTTGTTTTGACTGATGACATTGAGCTTCTCCATTGTCTCTTTCCACCGATGTAGTCAATACATAGATGCCTATGTATTCCATCTGGTAAGGTCAACCTGTACAGCCACTGCTTATGTTGTTGAAAAAAAGGTATTTGCAAAGAATAAGTTACTGGTCTTGCAAAATTCTATCATACAATCTCTAGAGTCATTTCTATTACCAAGGCCATATTTTTCAACTACTGGAGCTTCTTCTTTGTTTCTTTCACATGCCAATCACCACTAATTATAAGTATGTAAAAGCTTAAAAAAGCTTACAGTCTCCTAATTTGGGGTTTTTTCTCCTACAGTGCAATATAACTGCACAAAAAGGGTAATAACAGGTCCTCACTGCATCATCTCAATTAGATGAGGCCTTAGAAACTGGTGCTAAGATGGTCTGTTCTCTGATCCAGGAACCTAGTAGTTCTTTTCAGGATGTCTATAGCTCTCCATTATTTGTACATCTATATCTATATACTTAAAACCTCTCTTCCACCAATTCACAAACTATAATCCTCCCAATGCCCACTTCAACAAGCAAACTGCACGTATTCTTCAAGGCAAAGTGCCACATTTATTGTAATAATTATGTATTTAACTATTAAACATATATAAAACCATGCTACCATTGTTTTATTTTATGTCACAACAAGTTGTTCACATATTGGTGATTTTGTGCTGCATAGTGACCTTTTTTTTTTTTTTTAAGGAATGTATATATTGTGCTATAACCAAACTGACTTTATAGGTTTGCTAAAGTCTTTATTGGTGTAGATTACAATAAGGATGATAACATGTAAAGGCTTGAATGTTTAAAAGGAGAAGTGTGAATCCTGCATGGATTCATCCATAATAACCTCATCTCCGATTACTCAGGAAAACTGAGAGTTGATCATAATAGCATTTTCATTTCCTCAGGCTCATGTGAAATAAACAGTAGAGCAGATTTATGAAGTTTGCTCTCTTTAATAGTATCAGTACATAATCACTTTCATGGCTATATAATTTTATAAAAATCCATAAAAAATACCCCACTAGTTGAAATTAAACTGTCTTCTCTATCACTGATATTCTCTGAAATTTCATTCTTCAAAAGAAAACAATCAGGTAATTTTTTACCTAAGAATTCTATAGATGATCTTCCATCATTATCAGTACATTTTCCAAGATTTAAGTCAGGTTTCTTTGGCAATAATCCACTCTCCAGTATCTTTTTCATAAGAATTTCCTTTTCATAGTTTTTTATGTTTCTGTTTGATGAATATACAGTCCTAGAAAACAAAATGTAATATACTTAATTAATATAAAGGTGATGATTCTTAAAAGCTAGATTCCCAGAAATGCTGTTTTCATATATTACAATTACATAATGTGAAAACCTTTTTAATCAAGACTAAGTGGAGAAAGGTCAATATAAACAGCAGAAAGTTTGAATGGTAGCTTATAAACTTCTTAAATATTAAAGTATAATAAATTATGTTCTACAATTTAATGACTCATTAGATAATATAGATGAAAAGGCCAAATTCCTAGAACTGAACAAATTATCAGAAATGATTCATGAAAAAACAGAATTATCTCAACAAAACTGCAACAGGTGAAAAGAATGAATCAGTAGCCAGAAATGTCCAAAACCAACAGGAGACAGGTGGTGAGTATATAAATGCTGCCAACCAGCAAATAGAGCACAGCACAGTACCATGCTTATGTAAATAACATCCAAAAAAAAAAAAAAAACCACAGAAAATGAAAATCATTGGCAAGTCACTCCAACAATCACAATTAAATATAAACACAAAAATGTCACCATGCCTCAGAGAAAACAGCATCACAGTCCACATAAAGAAGCAAGATAAAGCAGGAGAAACAAGATACCAGGATACAGACCCAAAACACATCCCTGAGGAAGATGCAGTATTGGACCTCCCTGGTAAGGAATTCAAAATAATTATATTTAAGTACATTCAACGAACTGAGAGACAGATCAAGGAAAACACTGACAAAATTGAGGAAAACACAGAGAAGACTCTAGAACAATTTCAAAGGACGATACAAGAACAAAATGACAAAAAAAAGAAAAAGAAAAATTAGAAATGATTCAAAATCAACAAACAGAAATCCAGAAGAGTAATACTAAATTTTCAGAAATAGATAAGACATTGAATGGGCAAAGAAGTAGAATTCAATCAATGCAGGCTAGAATAATTGAGATTGAAGGCAAATACCTGAATACATCTTTGGAACGGGATCAATCAGACAAAAGATCAAAACAAAATGAAGAAAGCCTAAGGTTTAAGTGGGATACCATCAAAAGGAATAACCTATGTGTCATCAGAATTCCAGAATGGGAAGAGAAAAATAAAACCACAGAAAAATTGTCAAAGATTTGTTGGAAGACAATTTTGCTGGTATGATGAAAGATCAGAATATATCCATTCAAGAAATCAATGGACCCCAAACAGGATAGACCCAAAAATAAAATCACCAAGACATATCATTATCAAACTCACCAAAACCAAAGACAAAGAATCCTAAAAGTAGCAAGGGGAAAATGAAAAGCTACCTACAAGGGACAACCAATAAGAATAAGCTCGGATTCTTGGCAGAAACCATGCAGGCAAGAAGACAATGGGATGGTATACATAAAACTCTGGAAGAGAAAAATTTCCAACCAAGAATTATATAACCTGCAACACTGTCCCTCAAATATGATGGTGAAATTAGAACATTTCTACATAAGCAGAAATTAAGGGAATTTGTTAAAACCAGACCAACCTTACAAGAGATGCTAACAGAAGTCCTTTGGACAGAGAACCAACAACAGCAAACAACAACTGACCATTAACATACATGGTGACATAACCCAGAAACTAACCCAGTTATAGAAGTATCCAAAGTAAATAAGCATACAGGATTGTAAACAGGGAACCAGAGACATCA